GTTCCAAAGGAAATTATCACTGCTGGTGACAATGAACCATATGCAACCAGAACAAATTTGGGATGGGGTGTCACTGGACCAGTGAAGAATGCCAAGATCACAACAAAGACATGTCGTTTTGCTTATCGCACAAGAGCTCGTGAGGTGACTACTGAAGAAGTGAGAAGTATGATGGAACTTGAATTTCATGAGCGTCATGTAGATGACAAGATGTCATTGGAAGACTTCCGCTTTCTGAAGATTTTGCAAGAGAATACTTTACAGAATGAAGATGGGCATTTTGTATTTCCCCTACCATTCAAGACAGATGATATAAGACTTCCCAATAATCGTAGTGTTGCTCTTGGATGTCTTTTAGGCTTACAGAAGAAGTTAGGCAGAAAAGTACAGTATCAAGACCATTACATTACGAGCATGAAAGATATGATCCAGAAATCTTATGCAGAAAAGGTCCCAGCTACTGAGATAGAGAAGGACACAGTATGGTATATACCACATCACGGGGTATACCACCCCAAGAAACCAAATAAGCTCAGAGTTGTTTTCAACTGTAGCAGTGAATATAAAGGAATCAGTCTGAACCAGTATCTACTTAGTGGTCCAGATCAGTTGAATAGTTTGATAGGAGTATTATGTCGCTTTCGTGAAGAACCGACATAGAGGGAATGTTCCACCAGGTATTAGTAAGCCCACCACATATAGAGACTATCTTTGATTCCTATGGTTTGAGGACAGTAACATTGAAGGTCCTATAGTAGAATACCGTATGAGAGTTCATCTTTTTGGGGCCACCTCTTCATCTGGAGTAGCCAATTTTGCATTACGTCTCACAGCAGACTTATTTGAAGCAGAGTGTGGAAAACTGGGCGCTGACTTTGTTTGCCGTAATTTCTACGTAGATGATGGTATCAAGTCTGTAACGACAGCACAACAAGCAATACAATTGTTCAAGGAGAGTACTAGTCTTTGTGGTAAAGAAGGATTTAAACTTAATAATTTGTTATCCACTAATAAAGAGGTGTTGACAGCAATTCCACCTGAGTATCGTGCCAAAGACATCCAGTCTTTCAACTTCCTGAATGAAGAATTATCAATTTCAAGAACTCTAGGTGTTACATGGTGTGTTGAGAATGACATGCTCAGATTTTGCATTGAGTTGAAAGATAATCCACTCACTCGTAGAGGTATTATATCCACAGTAGCATCAATCTTTGACCCATTGGGTTTCATCTCGCCATGCCTCCTAGAAGCAAAAAAGATATTGCAGAGTCTTTGTCGGGATGGACATCACTGGGATGATCCAGTTCCTGATGAAATATGTATACAGTGATCTAAATGGAGAAACCAGTTATCTGCATTGACGCAGTTTTACATACCAAGATGTGAGAAACCAGAAGGTTTGCAGGAGCCAATTGTGAGAGAGTTGCATCACTTCTCAGATGCATCACAGAATGGATATGGCAGCTGTTCATATCTACGCATTATTGATTCGAATGGTAAGATTTATAGCACCTTGTTGATGGCTAAATCTCGTGTAACTCCTACGAAACAACTAACCACACCCAGACTAGAGCTCACAGCTGCAGTCACTGCTGTGAAAATTAGTGAATTCCTGAAACGCGAGTTAGATTATGATGCCAAACATATTTTCTGGACAGACAGTATGGTTGTAATGGGTTACATTTCCAATGCCGCACGCAAGTTTCATATCTTTGTAGCAAATCGCATACAACAGATAAGAAATCATACTGAAGTCTTACAATGGAACCATGTCGACTCTAAGTCTAAACCAGCAAATGTAGCATCAAGAGGTTCCTCAGTAGATGATCTCTTAAACCATAAATTATAGTGAACAGGTCCAGTATTCCTTCAGAGTTCAGACCCATTGCCACTAAATACTGGTAGCTCTACCACTGCATTAAATACAGATGATCCTGAAGTGAAGAAGTCTGTTGTCTTATCTACACAAAGTATCAAAACTGAGCCAGCCAGTTTCTTACAAAGGCTTGATTATTTCTCAGATTGGCACAGAATGAAGACATCTGTAGCACTGTGTATCAGATATATGCAAAGACTTCGCTCCAGAAGCATACCATTCGTATCAGTATCACCGATAACAGTTGAAGAGCTCCAGCATGCAGAACAATTAATTCTAAAAGAACTGCAGGCTGCACATTTTGCAGAAGAGCATCATAGTTTGTCAAAGAAACTGTCACGTTTGAAAGGCAACAGTCAGTTGCGCAAATTGGATCCATATCTTGCTCCTGATGGTTTGATACATGTTGGCGGCAGAGTACAAAGAGCAAATCTTCCACCTAATCTTAAGCATCCTGTTGTGTTGCCAAATAGATCCCATATAACTTCAGTATTAGTAAGACACCACCACGAGCACACAGCACATGCAGGTAGAACACACACATTAAATGAAATACGTGCCAATGGATATTGGATCTTGAAATCACATGTAGCAGTAGCATCCCATGTAAGAAGCTCAGTGGCAAACCAGTAGTACAAAAGATGTCAGACTTACCAGAAGACCGCTGAGCAGAACATCCACCATTCACTTATAGTGGTGTTGACTATTTTGGTCCCTTCTATACACGAGTAGGACGAAGTGATAAAAAAAAATGGGGCGTTATCTTTACATGCCTTACATCTAGAGCAGTACACATAGAAGTTGCCTATTCACTCACCACTGATTCCTTCCTGAATGCATATCGCAGATTTGTATGCCGTAGAGGACCAGTCAGAAGTCTTAGATGAGATAGAGGATCTAACTTCGTAGGAGCTAAAGGTGAACTTGAGTCTGCCCTTGCTGAATTAAGCAACAACCAAATACAGAGGGAGCTCCTCAAGGATGGCACCGATTGGATAGAATTTAAATTTAACGTACCACTTGCAAGTCATATGGGTGGCGTCTGGGAACGTCTTATAAAATCGGTCTTATAAAAGCTCTGTCAGGAATTCTTGAAAAGCAGAGTCAGCAGTTAGATGATGAACTTCTCATCACCTTCTTGACAGAAGCTGAGGCCATTGTGAATAGCAGACCACTGACCTACCTAGATATGTCTTCTACAGATACTGGTGAACCTCTTACACCAAGTCAGTTACTCACACAGAAATCAAAGGTTGTTCTTCCTCTGCCAGGTGCTTTTGTACGTCAGGATTTATATTGTAGAAAGAGATGGCGCAGAGTTCAGTATCTTGCCAATGAATTTTGGCGTAGATGGCGGTTGGAATATTTACCTACCTTACAGCTGAGACAAAAATGGCAAGATGAAACACTGAATCTGATTAAAGGAGACATATTTCTTGTCATTGAGGAGAATACCCCCAGATGTCAGTGGCCACGTACAATGGTAATGGAAGCATTGTCGAGTAAGGATGGATTAGTAAGGAAGGTATGCCTGAAGATTGGCAATTTGTTGTATGACCGGCCGATAACAAAGCTCATCATGTTGTATAGACCAGAGCACAACCCCGTCGAGGGAGCCAGTAACTGAACTATAATAATAATAACTTTATTACACTACTAAAAAAACCTTCAGAGGGTTTTTGTATGGTATTTTTTTGTATTTATAAGCGATCAGTTTTAACCATGACTGAACTTTATTAAAGATTTATAATATGTTTAGATTACCAAAGTTGTAACTTTGTTTATTGAATTTGATAGTTTAGCTTTTGTTAAGTTAGCCAGTAATTAGTAGAAAGTGTTTTAGAGTTTGTATTGTTTATCACAATTCAGAGCCATGTAACGAACACAGTTCTAAATTTATTTTAAGCTAACTCTCGCTCAACTCTCGCGTAGTTTTGCGTGATCTTGTACGAACGTGACTTCAGTGAGAGTCGTTCTAATGGCGGTTTGTTTATAAACAGTGAATGCAGCTCGAGATCGAAACTACACATATTTGTATTTTTTACCATGTTTTTACATACTCGGGAACTGAGTTTTATGTTGAAATTGCGTGGTTAAATAAATGGTATAAGCAGTCAGTCTAAACTGCGTTCTTAACACCTGTATAAAATTCACAAACTGAATGAAAGCATGCAGCTCCATAATGAGAGGCAATTGGAAATATTTGTTTTCACTTACCTGGGGTGCTCTATGTTCATTCGAGTATAGTTGAGGAGTCACGGCGGGCAATTTCAAAATGGCCGACTTTGACGTGAAAGATGTTTTGGATCAACAACAAAGGTAAGTTTTTATAACTGTAACATTACGTGCATATTCTTATAATGAAATGTTATTCATTTGTTATGAATAAATGATCATTTTATAAACTTCCTATTCTGTACACTAATATGATTCAACACTGAATTTTTCGCCTATTTTTTGCGCTGGTCGTTTTCCGAGGTCGTTTTGACGGTGACCACCGAACTCGGCCAGATTTCTACTCGGCCAATGACCGATCACGGCCAGTGACCGTACTCGGCCAGCATATGTGCATAAGGGTGTCAATGATGCAACAGCGAGCGCTGTATTACAGACTGTCAGAGTCATATCACAACAAAATATAAAAAATGTACGGGCGTCAAAGGGTGTCGATTTCAGTGATGCCTATCGTGCTTTGTTAATAAAAAAAGGGATGTCGATTTCAGTGACGAAACAGCCAGCGCTGTGTCTTTTGTCATATCACAGTAAAATGTAAAAAAAAATAGACGGTCGCCGATGTGATGTCTGTGATTCAATGTAATGTCTGTGTTTTTCCTTTGAAAAGAAAATTTGCGTCACTGAAATCGACAATGTTCAGCCAATGTTGAAATCAACAACATGTCGGAGAACCAGTAGCGTTTGTGTGTGTGTGTTTGTAAACTTGCGTTGTTGAAATCGACAACAAAATAGTCACGGGAGTTGGCGACTGGCCGAGTTGTGCATTTTTTTCCTGGCCGAGTTGAAATCTGGCCGAGTTCGGTTGTATTCGTTTTGACACAGCTGGATAATTACATTACTAGTATTATAATAATAACTTTATTACACAACTTAACCATCTGTGGGTTTAGTAAGGTAAAAAAATGAATACAAAAGACAAACAAAATAAGACACACTAAAACACTAAAATTAAAATACACTGAAATTCAACATAGAAAAAAATACAAATTAGAAAATCTCTGAAAAATTGATTAAACAGCAGCACGTTCTTCTAGACTAGCTGCAGTTCTGTAGACGACCGAATCAGACTACCGATGCAACAGAAAACGCCAAAAACGGACACCAGCGAAATCCAGAGCTACAGAAATGCAGCTACTCCCAGACCACAGTTACATATTTATCTTTTAGAAAATTGTGTTTTTTAAATAATATGACAAAGCCATATTATTTCCCATTATTTTCACAAAGCTTTCCATTCTGGACAAGTCATTAATTTTTATTTTAAAATACTTTAAGACATCTTTTCTCTCTACTTCATAGAAATTGCAATCTAAGATGAAATGCATTTCATCTTCAATTTGATCTGAATTGCATTTTTTGCACGTTCTTTCATTTTCTTGGGTTTTTGGTTTACTCTTCCTTCCCAATTCAATTTCAAGGTTGTGGTCACTGAGCCTAAACTTTGCCAAAACTCTACGTTGGCTGAAGTTTTTCATTTCATTTAGATAGTTTTCTAATTCAAATTTTTGTTTAAATATACTATATGTTCTAAGTTTGTTTCCCTCTTTTTTATTTAATTGTTTTCTCCATGATTGAATAAATTCATTTGATAGCTTTGTTTTTACAACATTGGTTAGTTGATTAATATTGTTGATCTTGTTAGTTTCTTTTATTTTAGACAAGTTTTTTTCTCCAAAAATTGTTTTTATTTGAGTATTATTGTCAATAGTGGACCGGAATTACACACGGTCTAGCGATCTGAAACTCCAAAAAACAACATCAAATCGATTGTTTTTCATCACGGTTTACGACGTGGTAAGTGTTTATTTAGGGTTTGAACAATTAAAATCATAGGGGTGACTGGAAGCGTGGGACCAGTGCAATTTCTTGTCTTGTCTGTACATTTGTATTTTTCTTGAATGTGCCATCATTTTTTTTGCAAGTCTTGGAATGCCATTTTTTTTCTGTGAGTTTCTAGCTTGTATTTTTTGTCAACAATTGGAACGCCAACCCACCTCCCAGGATAGATGGTTAAAGTCCCAGGTATACTATAAATACGGTCCTATACAATAGGGATTATTTCCTTGCTTGTCACGCTGTAGTAAACAGCTCCAGCCAAGCCCCGGTAATAGCGTGTTTTCTCGAACTTACAGGTCGATTTTGTCATGCCAAAGTGGATGCATGCGACTATGAATATCACAGCAGTGACTGTGTGTAGTATTTATGACAATAAATAGTGTACGAGCTGAGATTTTGGCGGATAAAAGTCAAAAACTCGAACCGGGGAAAGGGACACGCTACTAATCTTGAATAATCAACTACTGTCAATCAAAGTCACGTGATGTTGGCCCGCTGAAACAGGATGCGTCATAGGCTATGCAAGTGATTAACAACACTCGTTAGCATAGTCACACCTCCAATTCACACTTGCCCGGGGCAAGTGAATTGGACCTTTAACCCCTAAACATATTATTGACCACACAAAGATAAACATCCACCCAAGTAGTGAATATTTATGCAATAGTATTGAAATTCAACAACAAGTTTTTAACAGTTTTCTAGTGAGTTTGATTGATGGGCCAGTCATGGAGGTGAAAAGAGATCTTTTTACCTCCATGGTCCAGTTCAGTTCATTATTTTCAACATTTTAACTCCAGTCTGTGGTGGCTGCCATTCGAAATATCTTTTCAAAAAAAGCCATGCATATTTAGGGGCCCAGGAATTACATGTATGTACTATGGTATTGGTTTAAATTTAAAAAAACACAGTGTCCTTGATAAGTTCAATAATGGAAAATCTTCTTTACAACAACAAATTTATTTTAAATCTTGAAAATGTATACAGTGTCCTTGATGAGTTCTATAATGGAAAATCCTTTTTACAACAAATTTATTTTAAATCCTGAAAAAAAATAGTGTCCTTGATGAATTCTATACTAGAAAGTCTTTTTCACAACAATGAATTTATTTGAATTCTTAAAAAAATACAGTCTCCTTGATGAGTTCCATAATGGAAAGTCTTCTTTACAACAACGAATGGCAGAAGTATCAGAAGAAGACAAATTATGCAAAATGAAATTGCCTCCAAGCAAGGTGAGTTGTCTGTGGTTGCTTTTAGCGATCATTTTGTTAATACATGTAGCATATGATCTAGGTCCCACTATATATGCTTGGGACCGAAACTCTGCTCGTGCCACGCCCTCGGTGGTAAATTTGAGAGAACATATGCTAATTCATACGAGTATGAAATGACGATGACAGAAAATGCTGTTATACTAGTATATGGTCTGATGCTGTAGTATTGAATGAAATGAATGCAAACCGTCATCACCAACGCATATTTATGTGCTACTGCAACCGCTATTTTCTTGCTATGCTACATTGACGTGAAAAAAATAATTGTTTTTTCGAAGAATCCGAATAACGTGAACGCAACTGTTGTAATCCCACTGCAGACACAAAAGATTAAAAATGTTGCCATGTGCCGAGATCCCGTAACATGAACGTAGTAATAGGTTACGCGTTTTTCAGAATGTTAGCACTGTTAACACATGTTAATCATAAATCTGTGTTGGGCTGTTTACAGACTGAATTTCACAAACTGAAGATCACATACAAGTCATTACAGAGTAAAATTAACTTCTATGAGTTGATAAACACGGCAAAAGAAAACTGGCCCACACTTTCATCCATTGGTAAGTACCAGTACATGTATGTATATTGTAAGCATATACATGTACCAGAATTTGATGCAAAATGTTTATAAAAAGTGTTCTAGACTTTTTTACCCAATCAGATCAAAATGTTATTGTACAACATGAATTTAATTTTAGTAGCCAAAGGCTCAGTGATAACAGAGCCAACGGTTATAGCAGCCACTTGATACTGAAATACTATTTTTAATGAATTATTTCTGGTTCCAGCCAAACAACTGCCACAGGAATTTCACTGTGTGTGAGTGGATTCATCTGCCAACTGAAATGTAGTAATGATATATTTGAACGGTTTCCAAGATGCTAGTTGTGGTTTTATTCTGTTTGAAGAAGATTACAAATATTTTTTTTTTTTTTCAACAAAGACTAATCATATTTAAAAACAAAGTACCGGTATGTCTAAATTTAATGAACAGTATTTCCGATGTCATGTGCCTTTTATAACTATTGTCCGTCAGTGATTCACTTTCAATCACAATATTCTGCTGCAAACTGCATGGTTTATCACTATGATTTGAAAAATTGGCATTTGCTTAATGTTCAGAAACAAAACATTTAATTTCGCTATTTTGATGTTTTGTGTGATTTCCCTGGGTTTTAAGTTTAAAAACTTGGCAGGGAAACAATGAGTTCTATTGTTATTCCATGTAGATTTAATTTAGCAAATTTTACTTGTCAATGAAAAAAGCAAAATTAAAAATCTACAAATAATTAGTGTGTTTACAATATGTGCACATCAAATATAATTTATTTATATACGTACATTCTTCCAGTGAACAAAAGTTCAAAATCTATTTCATGTGTGAAATTTACTTCTCTGTTTGATTTTTGTAATCAGCCACTTTCTCTTTCAATGAATAAATTATGTTGCCATATGCATTTCAATTATTCACTTTTTCTACAACTAACAAATCATTCCTAATCAATTTATTTCAACAGAAGATGAAATAAAAGCTAATAAAAGTAAATTTGAAGGACTTCGAGAAGAGATAGAAAACATAAAGGAGGAAATGAAAGAACTGACAGAGAAAGCACAAACTGGTGAGAATTACATCTAGGAAATAAAAAAATAACTTGAGTTACACCCAATGGAGCTTAATTTGCTTCAAAATATTGTTGATTACCGATAAACTTTGACTACAGTCTAGACATCTTTAAACATAGAAAGAATGTAAATACATCTAGACTGTACATGGAAATCTGCAATAATTTGAAACAAATTATGTAATAAGTTGTTTTAATTCTACAACATCCAGAGCAGTTTTAATGACAATGGTGGTTTTCACTGTAATTCTTTTTATGTCTTTTACTGCACAGCACAAGAACAAAAAGATCAGAATGTTGCTTTAATGGATGAAAAGATGCAGTTAATTGAAGCCAAGGTATCCATTTTAATCATCGTCCAACACTTTCACAAGCTCAACGTACTTCCTCACAAACCAATCTGTGATTTTACTGAGGTCATGAAATAGATATAAAAGCAAAATTATCATGGACTTGTCCAGTCCTAACATTACAGCTACAAATGAATTTATGAATTGAGCTCTGACCATATTAATAACATTGAATCTGTATACAATGGTGGGATATCCATAAGTAGAACGAAAAAAACGAAAAGAATTGTGGGTGTACTTTAATACACTCTGGCTGAACAGGATCCTTCGTGATATAGTGATGTCATGTCCAAATAAGAAGTCACTGGCTAGCAATGATCTTTCATATGATATTTTTTTTGTGTTTTTTTTTTACAGAAGAACAAGTTTGTAGAGCTACGTGAAAAGTACAACAAAGTTTACAACAGTTACAAGAAACGAGGAGTGTCACAAGATGATATAGATTCTGTCTTGGCATCTCAGGTAAATCTTCATAACAAAATCTTTAGCTTAAATCTCTCTACTTCAACTATTCAACATTTACTGGTCACTGATTAGGTAGTTGTTGTTAATCAAATCAGTAATCCATGTTAAAATCCTACCTGGGGTTGAAACCAACAACTTATTGACTTCTTGTACATTATACATACCATCGGCACTTGCTCTTGCAATTTGCACATAATGAAAGAAAAAGTTCGAAGAGAAAACAATGACTTTTAGTTTCAAACGTGAAACTGTGTCTGGTGCAACAAAATAAACTACTAAACAGTCATCAAAATAGAACAGACATTGTAAATTACATTTTTACCGTATATGTACCCTTCATTACATTACTTGTACTTTTTTACACAATATGGGATGTATTAAATGTATTGTTCAACCCATGCATTCAGTATGCTGTCTGTTTTCTCATTCTTAGCGAAAACAGTTGAACGTTGCCAACGAGGCCATCATGCAGTATGAAGACACCCTGCAATCGCGTAAACTTGAAACTGACAACTTTAAAGCAGAAAGTGAGGAAATTAGACAAAGAGTAAACATTGCTACAGCGTCACTTGGAGCTTTGAACAATCAAAAACAAGAAAAGGCTGAAGAAATTACCAATAATCTCAACTGGTAAATTGAATTACTTGGAGTGTCACAGTTATCACATTCATAAATCAAACATTACATTCACGTACTTTGTACCATGTACCTCTTGAGATATCTTGTCATGTTTTCCCCTCTCCACTCAATCAATCTATGGCCTATGGCAGAATGGTTTTTGTAATTAATTCAGCATGCATATTGAGTGTGACATTCCACCATTAACAAATCTCTGGTTTGGAAGTCAAATTTATAACATTTGTATGCTGGTGCACTAGTGCTGCTGTTTGTTTTTGTGCTTGATTCTGAAGCAATGCAGAGATCAATAATATACAAAACAAGATGTAATCAATTGTATATTTTATAGACATTTATTAATTTCCATTCGGAGGAAGTCCAAAAACAAGGACTGATGGATTAACCTCCGTGGGCGTGTCTGTGCATGACCGTCCAGCCAAATCCAGCCATATCCCACACATGCTGTGGCTGATCATGTTAAACTTCACCTATACATCAGACATTATATCAAACATATTCAAATGCATTTGATTCATGATCCGATTCAAGGCAACCATTTTAATGCCAGATTTTGTTTAAACTTGAACACAATGGGACCTTGATACATGCCATTTTATTTTTGGCCGATTGGTGACCATTTTGTTTCAAAGAATGCAGTCTCAGGTCCTTATATCTGGATTGCCTGGGCAGATCAACTTCAAACTTACATCAGACATTATATCAGGCATATGCACATGCTTTTGTTCCATGATCCAATTCAAGATGGCTGATTGCAGCCATTATAAGGCCAAAAATATGTTAAAATCACACATTTTCACCATTCCAGAACCAGATGTCAGTCATGCATGGTTATATTTTGTTCAAACTAGATACACAAGTTAAACATGTGTATATGAAGGTTAGCATCTTAATGCATGTTGTTTATTTTTTGTATTGGATTTTAAAGAATGCAGTTCTGACATGTCTGAACCGATTAACTTGAAAAATCACACAAACATCATTCATCATTTTGAATGTTGTAGTTCTGTTTTACCTTACTGTGCCTTCCGATGGTATTGTTGTGTAATAAAGTTTTTCCTTTTCACTTTAGGTGCCATGAAATGTGTAAGATATTGTCATACATGGGACGTATAAGTGACCCTGTGGTTGAGGAAGACAGTATACACTTGGAAATAGCATCGTTGGCTCCTAACTGTAAACCTTTGATTGTATCCATGCATTTTACAAAACAATCAACAGGAGATGTAATCCTCTCAGATGCCAAGGTTTGTGTTGTATTACTTTAATGGACATATCACCTTTGATGCCATATCACAAATGCTGTATTATGAGAATGCGAGATAATTGTTATTATACATCTGTCACCGTAACGCCATAAGTTACAGCGTGCTGTAATTTTGCGGTATTTTACGGGGTATTTTCATTCTACAATATTAGGAAATGCGAATTCCAAATATGGAATGATTACTCGCTTAAGCGTACTCTGATAATAAAAACAAACATGGCTGCCACCAGGGTTTAACTGGACTCCACACAAAGAAGTTTGCTGATTCTGTTCTAAACTTTTAGGATTTCCGCATTCCCATGATGTATCCTTAGTAGGAAAAGATGTATAATAATAAGGTCATTACGAAGATACCTCAAAGTATGCACTCAGACAGTACGCCGCGCATTGTCCTCTGCTGCGTGCATACTTTAAAGTATCTTCGTAATAACCTCATATTATTGACTCAGGCTGTAGTGTGATCAATGGGCGGGTAGCATTGGTCAATGCTTGCTTGTGGTTTTAATTTGACGAGCAATTATACCCAAAATGGCAGTGAAAATATTTTACAAGATTTTCTTGCATGATCATGATCAGTAGTGAGATTCTATTTTAATCATGTGCAGCAATGTGAACAAAGAAATGTGTTTAAATTTAGTGCACACATTGATATTCAAAAACACTTTAAGCATGTCTGTATTTTATGGACAGTTGAATTCTATTCACACGTTGTTTTATTTAATTCAGACAAACATTATGACCCTAGTTACTGACGATGTAATCACAGCAGGAGTAAAAGACAATGATGTATTGTTTTTATTGAATGAAATTATCCATCGATATGATTGTCATGCTCCTCTCTTAGGCGAGATGGAAGACCTAAGAAGCAAGTAAGTTGAGACATCAATTGAAAACAAGAGTGTTGCTGTATTTAAAGATATTAATACTGTTCTATTACCCTTCTCACCACCAGTTCCCTTTTTTCATCATAAATTCACTAAATAGTCCGGTTGATAGTCTGCACCTTTCCTCCAGAAAATTGAGACAAAAATAGCAAAGTTTTTTGAGTAAAAACTGCAAACTTAAATTTTGTCTTTCGGCTCCAAAATTAGGGTTCATTTCCCCAGAATATAAAAAAAGGGGGCAGAATAATTTGGGCAAGAGTGTCTGGTGATGAAAAGGTTAATATTTGTTTATTAACTTGAATGCACTGAGATGATTTCACTATTGTGTAATGATCTGTTTTGATTGTAGATATGCGATTGATTGGATTGTTGATGAAAGAAAAGTCAAGTTGATGATAGCTGACAATGTGCATAATGTATGTACCTTATGCATCGAAGAAGGTTATCCAATAACAGGTGGTGTGCTCTTGAAATCTATTGATGGTTCAGATGTTTCCTTGGACAACTTGAAGGTAACTGAAACTTGGCATGGTTCCATTCATGGAAATTAGTAAACCTGTAACAGTGTAATGCATGAAAGGAATATTCAGTGTTTGCTATGAATCACAGACTTGTGATATCATGAGAATTTTTTAAAACATGCTTTCGGTGTTTCTCCCGGATTTTAATTATTTTTGTGAAGATGTGAGTAGTTAGTGATAGTTAGACAAGGCAAATAACACACTATGTTATTGGAACCAGTTTTACAGGTTTACACTTCGAGAGGTTGCAATACCAGTCACAAGGTAGAAGGAAATCATGCAGCACATGCATGTATGTAGTACTGTTGCAAGTTTTGGTTGGCCTTTATGTAGTTACCCCCAAATATAGTTGGCAAATTGCTCTAATTATATACATTTAATTAAGAAAACCAGGATCAGCAATGAATTGTGACAGAGGTTACTAGGACTACCCTGGGTGCAAACTGGAAGTTGTATGCATTAGGTATAACTAAGCTAAAGTTGTAGGCATTTTGAATTTGCAGTTGCACAGGGATAAGTAACAAAATCAATACCAGAAAACAATGAGGTTAAGCCATGTGGGACCCTGCTGGAAGGAGAGTGGAGTAATACCATTATTAACAAGTTGTTGTTTCTTTATTATTTTTTCAGCCACCGATGCCTAATCCTAGCATAACAGATTGGATACACTATCTTCATATACAGCTGAGCAAAGAAATGGATGTTTAACTGAGATTTATTTCTAATGAGATGATGAAAACTGTCAATATCTGGAATGTGATGATGAACACTGCCAATATACCATATTTACTACTCATATCTAATATTAACTGTAGCAAAACAAGCATGGATAACAATAAGTTAAAGTAATAATAGCCTTCTGATAATAAAAAAATTACAAAAAAATAAAATCTTGTTTGCTAAAGTGTGATGTTAGTGTGAATGGTGACTATTTGAAGTTATCAACAGGAGCAAAAGAATTAAAAATTAATCTGTGATTCAGGCATTCACTAAAAGTTACTAAGCATGTTACTATAACAACATATACATTATCCGAAAGTGTAAATGTAGTTGAATATGGTAGTGCATACACTATATCGATGTGTCGCATACGACTTGTTTACCACTTCCGTGTGACTGAGAATGTTCTAGAACCGTACTGTGTCTGGGTGGAATTTTTAGAAACTGGTTGAATAGGTAATGGAACATTCTAGAAATTTGTAGTAAGTTCCAGACTCATTATGTATGCTGATGTAATGGTCTATT